GCGGTCTATAACAGACCCCAACTACGATGTCTCCCCTACAGGCCTTCCCCCTGATCCTTACCCACAGACACTCCACTCCATCATTCCCAACCCCAAGCTCTTCTGCATCAAAACAGTCTTTAATATAAAGGGCCAAAAAAAAAGTAATTTTGCTGTAATGGGTATTGATAATTAGGCAGAAAATAGCTGTGGTGTGTGCCTGGTACCTCTGGGAAGTGCACACTGGTTTAAGTGCTGCATCACCAGTGAGGATGCTGAAGGAGGGTTGTAGCAGACTGTAGCTGGTCTGTGGCCCAGCCCAGTGTCCACATCAAGAGAAAGTGGTGAGAAACAGTCACTGGAGACACCTGCCAAGAGATAGGGGACCCTATTGGCCAGCCTGACTTGATATCTGCAAAGGTTCATTGTTTGCTGGGGTCTGGGATTTGTGAAGTTGCAGAGCCAGCCCCAGCACTTCCAGGCAAGGCCTTGGCCTCATCAAGAGCAGCTCAAGTTCTCTGTGTTGCAGGGATATATAAAAATTTGAGGTACTTAATGTCTTCCTCAGCTTTCACTGGTCAGGTCTGCCTTTTGGCCTCCCAGCTGCCTGAGCCTAGAGGCAAATCCTGCAGGAATGCATCAGTGCATCACTACCCACTGCAGAGAAAGATGCAGTGAAAGAGCACTTAGATCAGCTGGACGTCTGAGAGATGAGGCGGGGTACATCCCAGGGCATCAGGCTGCCTGCTGACATCTTTAAAAGGTTGTGGCAACTGGGGGAGGATTCTTTATGCCTAGAAAACAGGAAAGCATCACACTCATCCTCAAAAAGGGTGAGAAGATGATCCAGGGAAGTACAGGTCAATGGGGCTGATCTCAGTCCCTGGGAAGGCAGTAGAGAAAATGTTCCTTGAATCCAAGTAATTAAGAGCAGCAAGGATGGATATATAAAGGCAAATCATGCCTGACCAAGCTGACTCTCTTCCTTAGTGACAGGAGGTGTGACTGCCTGCATGTGTGCATAAACGGAAAGGGCAGCATACTACTGTATACACTGAATTCAAATAGGACTTCTACACAATTTCCCACAGTTTATCAGCAGGCCAAGCCAGTAAAGTAAGGACTGGATGAGCAGACAGTAAGTGACGTGGAAAATCATCTAGAGCATATACTTGAAGGATCATGCTCACTGGTATGAAGTTCAGCTGGTGGCCAGTTACTACTGGAGCCTCTCAAGAGTCAAAACTGAGGCCAGAACTGCTTAGCATCTCTATTAATGATTTATTTAATAAGAGAGGGTGCACTCTCAGCAGATTTGCTGGTCATATCAGCTTGGGAAGAACAGCTGATAAACTACGTAGCAAGGGGCAACAGGAACAATTTGGAACATTCCTGCTAAATGGAGGCAATAAAATGAATTTTCCCATGGAGTCAATCCAATGAGAGATTTGGAGAACTCCATCCTTAGAGATATTCAGGTCTCAAGTGGAGGAGTTGTCAGTCAATTTAATCTACACTGGCACTGGTTTGAGCAGGAGGTAGGGCCACAGACCTCTGTAAGTCCTTTACAGCTTAAATTACTTTATGACTCACTGGCAAACGACTCATCAAAGTTGACATAAGGAATAGAATTCCATAGCACCACAGAGATTAAAATGCAGGCGATGTAATAAAATAAAGACAAAGGACTGCATAGTTTTCTCCAGTAGCTGAGAAAGAAAGGAAGAAGAAATAATTAAACACTGGAGGGTAATGGGCCATACATACATACCGACCACTAAATTCAGGCTGAAAATCAAAAGGTTTAATTTCTATATAGAAATTAAGGGGGGACATATAGAACAGTTTCCCAGTCAAAGGCATCTACCTAGTTTTGAACCTATGAAGAGGTCAACTAATGCTGGTAAGTGTATTAGACTCACTTCAAGAAATTCCTGCTTTAGTTTCTCTGGTTTCAAGAGGTAGAGGGCTAAAATCACACCAACTGTCTGCCAGGATAAAAAAATAAATTTAAATTGCAAAAAAAATCAAGCGCAAAAGCTTTGGAATCCATTATTTCAAAGATAGCAAGGGGCCCAAACTTGTGTCAGTTTTTCTAAGGTTTGGGGTTTTTTTGTTTTTTTCCTAACAGGTCGTCATATATTTCTCCTCAGTCATTTGATTCAGTTTTCTTCTACCTTTCTAACCACAAATTAACCTCTAGAACTCTGCTTTTGTTTCTTTTTCTTCCATTGGTTGGTTGAGTTTATTTGTTTGTTTTGTTAAAATTAGTGTTGCTGTTTTCATTTGCTTTGCTTTTGTTAATTTTTGTTTATTTTGGGTTTGTTTGGTTGTCACTTTTTGTTTTGTTCTTTACTATGGACTTTTTTCTTGTGGAATTTTACCTCTCATTTCTTAACTCACAGAAATCTGCTTTCTTGAAGTCCAGTTTTATTTTGCTATGCTTTCTCTTTTGTTTCTGAAAATGGGACTCTGTCAAACATCTCTACTTACTTGCTCTTAGTGGCACCTCTGTGCTGAGATATAATTTTTCATGGGATCATGAAATATTCTGCTTTTGTAATCTTCTGTTGTTAACTTTCTTGCTTCTCCTTAATTATTAGTTTTACAACACAGCTGCTATAGTTAGTTGCTCTGTTCTTTCCCTTATATTCATTGCTGTCTGGAAATTTCACATCTATCCTGTATGCACAGATAGTTACTATAGATCTTGGAGACTTCATCTGGGAAATTCTAAGTTACTAATTTGTAGTTTAATGAGGAAAAAAGCCTTCTTCTAATTATCAGCTTTTAAAATTAGATTCAATTTAGATCTTCATCCAAGCTTTTTCTGTCTTAACATCATCATTCTCAGTGTCAGCAATGACAAACCCGCACATTAAGGGCCTATTAAGTCTGGAATTATCATTAATCACACAGTAATTGTAAACTAGAGATGATCTCCAACTCCACTGTCGTTTTATTGTTGATACTTTGCCTTGTTGTGTGTGAAAGTGTTGAAAGTGTGTCCGAAACTTGGCTGGAACAATGAGCAATCTAGAGGTGATTTCATTCTCTGGAAAATAGAAGCAATTCCACTCCTTTGGAATGCCCAAAAACTTGCTTTCCCAAGCATGTAAAACTTTCTGTTTCTTTTAGTCAGTTTCTGTCACCGGCTGGCTGGGTTTTTGATTTATTTTTTTTTTTTAATATGTTCGTATGGGTTTTGTATGTGTGTTTGTTTTATCTTTAGGAATTTCAAAGTCCTTTGAAGTCCTTGAAATACAGATTTCTCTGTTGGAGTGGGAGATTAAATGGCATTTGTTAAGGCAGTTTCAGACTTCTAATTTCTTGACAGCTTTTCCCAACAGTTGTCATTTCGTTCAAGATAAGACATTAAGAATATTTGCCACAGTGTGTTTCCTTTACCATTTCTCTAACTTTACTTTTACTTACACCGTATCTAATTAAGCATTTCTCAGCAGCTGGACACCTAAATAGAATCAAGACCAAACAGAGTCAATGAAAGTGATGAAGATTAAAAGGCTTTTAGACAGTGAACTTTCCTGTCAACCCAGGGAATCCCTTAACCTCAGTCTGGAGCACAGGATATAAAACGACTCGTATCGGTCCTCCTCCAGTTTGACCAGTGCATCACAACTACCACGTTGTACCCAAAGCAAAGTAGAATAGATCAGAACTCTGAGAAAAACATGCAGCCTTATATCTCTGTTCCTGGAGCAATGTTATTAAGTCTTTCTTGGTTTTATGCTGTTTTGCTCAAGTATTTGACCTTGGCTGCTGCAATTGGAAAGTGTGACACATGATCCCTAAAAGCTCAAAGACCAGAACACAAGAGAGGAATAGAAGTGTGCTGTAATTTTCAGTCTCACTCTTCTACAGTCTCACCTCCAAACACACAAAGGCTAGAAACCGCTCTAAAGTAACAAGAATTCGATATATGTTAAGCACATGAGCACACTGCGTGCCCACATTTTCATTAAGCAGCTGTTCCTAAGCTAGAGAAACTTTTCCTATATTTCAATTGCAAAATGAAGGTAGATGTGTTACAATTTCTTTTTTTTTTTTTTTTCCTGCTTGGAGCTTTCCAGTGAAAAAGGGAAACTCATTGGAACAGAAATTTTGTCCTTACCAGAACCTTGGAAATACTAAGAGAGGTAGATTAAGACTTTCACAGCCCATTCTCGCAACATTAAATGAAATAGCTCAAACACACTGTGATTCAGGTTTGATCTAAAGAAAGCTCTGTGTCGGTTTATTCCAAATTCTTTCGTAGTTTGAGGATAAATAGCAGGTATTGCTTGCACTTAATTAACTGACGAGTTTTCGGTGTTGACAGTGCCCTCTGAAGTCTTGAAGGAGTACAACAGTTGCATTCTGTGTAGTCAGTTGCAAGTAAATCTGCTCTTAGTACTGCAGTGCATTCGCAGCAGATGCCTGCCTGCAGCACTGGCGGTTCCCATTTGTCTCAGGTGGATTCGTCCCCTGCCCTCCAACACATCCTCACTGCAGCTCTTCTACTGAAACCTGATGGCTGAGACGGGACAGCGCTGTGTAGTGTAATGACCAACCAAAACCTCAGGGGGAGCAATGCAGTCATTTTGTTGAACTTTACATTCAATTTTTTCCCTAAATACTTCAAAGATTCTCCATCTTAAAATCTTGAAATTTTTCAAGGAATCTGCTAGTTCTTGTGGTTTGGATTTGGTTTGGTTGGTTGGTTGTTGTTTGTTTTTTTTTCCTTGCATTCCCTCATTCCATTCAAAATGGAAAGAGCAGCAGAGCAGAGCACAGGTGAAGATTTTTGAGTTCTGAGTGAGGTGACGCAGTTTTCAGTACTTCATATTCCTTTGTTCACCCATTCTAACATTTCGTTTTTCTAAGCAACAGTTTTCAACAAGCTATTTAGAGTGATCCCAGTTTATTTATGAGTTGGTCTGAGTCTGTCAGACATCACAAGAAAATTTAAACTAGTCCCTTCCAGTGTTTAAGCCAATCAAAGTCTCCAGCTGCTCACTCTGCTGTTGGATGAGGATAAATCTCAGAGTAGAGTGGAATCAGTTGTGGCAGGAAACGAGCTCCTCTCAGAAGTGCTGAGTTTACAGAGTGCAACTGAGGAAATCAAATTCTTTCATGAAGACTTAATTCGAACTCACCAGATAAAATGGATTAGAAAAAAACGAAAGCTCTTTCGCATCCTACGCCATTTGCTGACTTATATTTGAAAAGAGTGCTAATGGGACTTAACAGTTGGGGTGAGTATCAAATATATTCCTTACGTATTCAATAGTATAATCTAAATACAGAGGGAATGGCATAGAAAAGGGCACTGCAATCTCTCTGATGGCGCTCAATAAATTCATTTGTTTTAAGCTTTTAACTGTTTGCTCTGTTTTTGTTTTTTTGTGTACTTCTGTCATTCCCTTGGAAAGTAAAGGGCACTTCACACGTTAACTGTTTACTTACATGATTTGCTGAACTGTGGCTGACGTTCAGTGATTACTTCTCTGCTTGCAAGACTGACTCCATGTAAACTAAACAAAATCACATTAAACATATCGTAGTACATTCTAGTCTAATTAAATCAGTAAATGGCAACCCTGCAATAATATATTTTTTAATTGTTAGGAATCTGCTAGGAAAATTAATTCCTTTAAAACAAAGTGTTCGTAGAAAAGCAGATGTGCAGCTTGCTAAAATTAAGGAAAATAGATTACCTTAAGAAGTCTCTAATGAGTCCCAGAAGGAGAATTAGGAAACTAATGAGCAAAATTGGAAAATAAAAACTCTCTTGTAATGCCAAAAAAAAAAGAAGAAAAGGAAAAAAAAAAAAAAGGGAAATACATGCAGGAGTTTTGCAACATGATGGAAAAGAGTATCAAGCCTACCAGTACCTTTGTCTCATTTTCACTTCTGACTCCACTTTCCACTCGCTTTGTCTTTCTGTTAGCTCTGCTTGCATTCATCTAGCAGACTGTGCTGTTAGATGTAACACCCAAGCAGGGTTATCTGGTAGATTCTGTGATCAAAATACATGGGCTGCTCTGAAAGTAATGCCTCCTAACTTATGATGTTGGCCCACAATGTCAGAGGCTGGTATTGGTGGGATGGCAGTAGGGGTTGAACCTTCCCATCAGCATCCTGTTCCATTTTGTCACCATGCAACAGATGGCAGCAGAGAGGCAGCCTGACAAAGTGGTGTCTGACATGGCAGTGTGAGCGGAGCAAAGGTGCGTCATTGAATTCCTCCATGCTGACAAAACAGCACCCAGTGATACTCATCAACATCTTCTGGACGTTTATGGAAATCAAGCAGTGGTGGTGAGCGCAGTGATCTGGTCATTTCAGCAGTGGTGATGGTGGCCTCGGTGCGGGTTTTGAGGAGCTCAGTGCGCAGGCTGCTGTTCATCACTAACAGAGATGCAGAGCTAATGGTTGTGACTGTGTTGAAAAATACTGCTTTGTAGCTGAGAGTTTGCTCTATCGAACAGTGTTATTGTGCTCTTTGTATTTGTTGAAATTTCCATGAGTAAATAGAAGGCATTAATTTCAGAGCAACCTACGGATATCGCAGAATCACAGAATGGCCAGGGTTGGAAGGGACCTCAAAGATCATGAATCTCCAACCCCCCTGCAACGTGCACAGCCACCAACCTCCACATTTAATACCAGACCATATCTGTAATCAAATTAAAGACTCCTCCCATTGCCTATCACAAAATGTTCATCAAATCATTTAAAGGATACATCTATCTACAGCCACTACTTTAACACAGCTTGGGTCTCAATTTCCATACAGCTTTGAGCTCTACCAGCTGCATACCACTGGAGATACAGACACAGCAGCATTCAGTTCCCAGTACATCCCTCCTGCTCATCTCTGTATCCCTTCTTTGGACAGTAATTCTTTATGTACTTCTTATGGTGCCCAAAACTCCTCACAGTGCTCGAGGTGATGCTGTACGAGCGGAGTGGAAATGCCCTACTTCGAAAGCAGAAGCTCTTCATCTTCTGTCTCCACTAATTAAACTGTCACAATCTGTTGAACTATTTGGTTTCACTGCTTTTTTTTAATACTGCTAGTAGCTTTTCACTGACAAAAAGCTACACATAAATCTGAAGATTGGCAGAACGTCCACAAGGAATGTTCCATAACTCTGACACATCATAAAACTACTGCACATGGAAATAATCATTAACTTTGAACTTCAACAGCATTATAAATCTAGAAGAAAATGAGAGCAAAATGGTAATTGGGTTTGTGTGCTCCGTGTTGCTGCACAGAGCCACTCAGAGGTTATCCAGGGCCAGTGGCTTTCATCCAAGGTACATGGCCAGATTCAACAAAGGGCAGGCTTCTCTTTAAGTATGCTCAAATCCTATAGACATTGCTGATCTGAAAAATTACTAAGTATATACTAAATCCTTTGGCATGCAAGTGCCTTTCAGCCCTGAGGCTTAAATAATTTGTTTGAATTATGGCTATGAACCAATATGCAAGCACAGCAGCCACATCCAGGATATAATAAAATAAGATAATTTCTTCATGACTTGTTTGTAGACAGAGAAAAGTAATAGGAAACATAATTTGTTTTTATTGCTGTTATTATTATTATTATTATAGATTTTATGGCACAAATCTGTAAACAGAACTTTCTGGGAAAAATACCACCACGTGACGGGGCCAGCCAAAAGTGAATGCAGAAATTTCTCCCTTGGTTGTTCAGTAAGCAATACTGTTAAAGTCAGTGGGGAGAACTCTTCACACCTTCTTTTTTTTTTTCCTCAGTGAGAGGGAAGAAGGGGGGGAACTTTTGAGAAAAGGCTCACAAGAAAAAAAAGATTCTCTAGAGGATTATTTTTGAGAGATCTTTTTTGTCCCCCCACTAAGACAACTGCAATCCTAGGTATCCAGGTATCAAGGTCAACGTAGTAGGAACAAATAATTGTCAAAGATCTGTTGATAAAACTGCTCAACATGACAGAATTGCTGAGACTCATCTCCTTGTCTTCTACCACACAGGTACCTCTCTTATGCACACAGGTTTTGACTGTGGTTTGGTTTTCATGAACAGTGGGATTTTTTCTCCCCAGGATGGAAAGTAAGAACCTCTTCCTAAGCCTATTGCTCTGCTACAGTTTGCTCAGAGCTGCCAGTTCTCACCTGGTAATCGAGGAGAAGACAGAATGCAACCTGTCAAAGAACAACAAAATGAACCTCCCAGATCTCCCACCCATCTCCATCGTAGGTTAGTAAAATTTGCCATTTGATGCCAAATTAACAGGACTTGAAGAAAATGCAGCTGTTGATCTATATGGACTATTTAGATAGCTCACCATAACATTGCATTTCACACAGATGCCTTAGTGTTACGCAGAACTGCAGTGGCAGTGCAGCCATGGGATTCAAGCATGGCAGTGTGGCAAGCCACAATTTAGTGTAAAAAGAACAACAACAGAAAAGCTGCCTTTAGATTTGCAGTTTGCACTGAGGTTCCTATCATACCGTATGTCCTTCTATATTCAAGAGCAAGGTTATTTCACTGATATGGGCATCAATCTTCCTTTGAAACTCCAGTGCAAATAGAAGAAGTGAATATGAGCAATTTTTTTTTTTTTTTTTTTATCAACTCTTGTAGAAATCTGTTGATTTCTCTGCTGAGATATCAATATAACATCAGTTTACCTGTGCCAAGTGTTTAATCCAGAGAGGAGAGGACTGCAAGGGAGGTAGAAGTCATCAATGTATCCAAGGCAGGACAGGCTATGCCCCTACCATTGCTGACAGGTGCCCATTTGTCCTGTGGTGAATTTTGTCAGACAGTGCTTAACATTTTCCTCCACAGATATGTTTTCATAATCTCAACCTTGTTGCTTTCAATGCAATTTAAGTCAGCTTTCAGTTCTCTCTTGAGAAACTTCTACTGTTCATCTCCCTTCTGCAGGCTTCTAGGACTTGTTCTCCAATCAAATGAGTTTCTCACCTTTTATTTCCTCTGCCCTTTTACTCAAGGGCAATATTTCTTTTAGGTGAGCCAGCTGTCCCACACAAGTCTCTCCAATGAAATCCAAATCTCCTTATCCCTGTGTTAATCAAGTTGGTTTAATGACACATTTGTTAAACTCGTGCCACACCATTCTGTGTTGCTTCTAATCCTACACTCCCCACACTTCCAATATTTTTTTTTTCCTTTACAACTAGAATCAGAATTATAAAATGCATTCCCTTTGGTTAACTTCTGTGTCTCCTTGGAAAAACGTGGACATGCCTTGAGCACAGCAGATAGGTTACCATGCCATATTATTTTGCCAACAGACACTCAAGACAGGAAAAATCTCCTAATGCTATCAGGCCTTTTTGCTTTGGATGGCTCTGAAATGCCTCACAAAAAGCTCTCCTCCCTTTCTGCACAGCTTCGTTCTCTGCAAGATCCACATTATCCCACCATGCTGTGGAAAAGCCCAGTTTTGCCACTTTCCCATTTTAGAGCCAGTAGAGAAAAGAAACAATTATCCAAAGTAAGAAAAGAAATTCACAGTAAACTAACGTGGTAAATGTAAGCAAACAGTGTTCATCCTTCTCCTATATGCATGCAAAAACAACGAGCATTTAACACCCAAAATGAAAGAATAACTTCAAAGGCTTGTAAGCAGCTGGTCAGTTAGACAGCAGTTGAAAACACAGTAAATAAAAGATGAGGAATATGAAATCATAGGCCGGTTGGGAGAAGGAGGCATCATCTAAATACAAAAGGAAGAGGCAACTACAGTGTTCACCTATTTAAAAAATGTATTTTTATGTTTCCCTCTTGTCTGCCCACTGGGTAACATTATCTTTACCAAAATCTCTAGAATAACTACTGCATAGTTATGTTGTGTTGGCGTTGTGTTACGCCAGTGTTTAAATCTCAGTTTAATTATATCGCTCCATCTTTAACTGAACATTACCAAAACAATTTTATAAGCAAAGCATTCCAGAACAGTTGCAGACATAGAAAACCCGATTGTCTCAGAATGGGATGTCAGTGAGGTATTTCAGCTATCAGCACAAAATTTCAAGGGGCAGCATAATAAAGCCAACACAATGTGCCAGATGAAACTGGAACCGACCAACCCACACCAGTGGGTGCAAGCCGTGCTCTTCTTGAGTGGCCTGAAATTCCTTATGCCTGAAATACAGTTTTTCCACCCAGTGTCACTTGATGATGGATGTGTAACCATAGCTCTGTAATGATGCTAAAATAATAAATGAAACTGCCAAGCAGTGCATTCTTAATTGCTTAATTCTGCAAATTCTGGTAATTATTGAGTGTTCAAAAAGGTTTGGGTAGCAAATTCTGGAACAAGCAGGGAGCCACCATTCATAAGTAGGCGTATGCAAATCTTTTCATGTCAATCAATCATGGATCTTACACTTAATCCAAAGCTCACAATGTACAAAAATATTGTGATAGATGAGAAGGGCAGCGTTCACTCTTTAGCAGAAAACTCCTGCTGTGTTAGATCCCAAGGCAAGTCTTAATTATGGAGGTAACATCAAACAGTAATTCCTATTAAAGGTGATATAATAATAAAGCTGATATTCCTCAAAGGATAATGTGAGAAATTTCACAATGTTACTGTTTTGACCTTAAAATAAAAGAAGAAACTTTACAAACTTCCATCACACGAAGTCTGAAATCTCCTCTCTAAAATTTACCAAATTGAAGAATCAACTCCAGCAACACACACAAACATTTAAAAGCTACAGGTGGGTTGATGAAACACCTTTGCCTTAGCATTTCACAAAAAGAGATGGTAAGTAAAAAAGGAACAAGAAAGTGAAGAATTCAAGGTGTTTTATGCCAAAACAGCAAAGAGCTTTTTGCTGATGAAACCAGAACAATAATTCCTGTCAAATTTGTGTAGGTAACACCACTTTTACAGAAGAAAATATGGAATTCTCACTGTTTTTTTCCTGTTTGTTTTTTTTTTTTTTTTAATACAATTAATATGCATAAATACTCCAAGAGAATTTACTGACACAGAGCCCTTGGTTTTTTGATGGTTTTTTTTTTTGTTTGTTTGTTTTTTGTTTTTTTTTTTGGATGCCTGCAGTGATGACAGCAATGCAGGTTATCTTGCATAAAAATATTATCAAGCATATCTGTTAAATAATATTTGCTGTAAGACTGATTTAATGTTATGTTTTGCTTTTCTTTTTGAAGATTTAACTAAAAGATCCCAGAAAGTCAGCAGAAAAGAGGCAGAGAATAAGAAATCTTCCAAGGTAGGCAGCCGTTCAGAAAATATTGTCAAAACAGAATGATTTATTATTGCTATACTTCACCCCAGTGCACTTATCTAGAGAGTTTTTACAGTCATTCCATGACTTAACTTACATAAAGTTTGAAGCTTAGTATTGTAAAATGAAAAGATGAAAAACATAAATGATGGGGAAAAAAGCATGATTCTACATTAGTTACAGGTCATTGGGTTTTGGTTTTGTAGTTTCTGTTTTGCTCTATTTTACAATCCTCTTACAGAAAACCTAGCTTAGACTTGAGATGCTCGAAGTATTTGCAACACTATTCAGGTATTGGCCAAAAAAAGATGCCATTCCCAATCACAGCACGTGGGTCAGCTGTCCAAGCCCTGCAGCTAAGAGGCACAAACTCACTCTGCTCACTTTTAACTGCATGTGCCAAAACATTGAAGTAGAAGGATCCAAATAATTTGGTGTTCAGTTGAAAACATTACCTAGGAATTTTATCCCATCGTTTGGTTCAGATTGGTATTTTCAAGACTCTCTGAGAGAGTAGAAAATAGCATTTTTACTTTATTTTTTGGTTTGACGTGGCAGCTTCTTTGAAGCCAAGCCAGTCATCGCTACAACCAGCAACATTTAGAGTTTCTTTCTTTTCCTTTCTAGTGTTTTGAATGGTCAGCCTTCTCTGAAACACTTCCTAAGCCCCCAGCATGACTCAGGTTGTTAAAGGCCACAGGAGGTGCTGCTGTTCCCACTGCAGTTCTCAGCAGGTTGTTCTCGCAGTCAAACTCAAAGTACTTGAGCTTGACGTCTAAAGCACTTACAGACCACATCCATTTTTGCCTTACAAATGAGACTTCTGGTAAACTTATGAATTCTAAAAGATTGTCTGGGGCATCTGTGGAAGGCTCCGGAAGCCTTGCCCAGGTGCCAGGAATGTGCTGACCAGCCCCAGCTTTCCCCTCTTTCCAAATCACAGGGAAGCAGCACCCGTCAGGTAGGCAAGACCTTTTTCAGCTCACTCACCTGTGTCTGCAGTTAAGGATTCCCAGATGCAAATCTGATGCACAGATGATCGCTGAGCTCCAAAAGCAGCTTGACAAACAAGCTGGGCACCCAAGAGTAATTCATTACCTTGTTGAACCTGTAATAATGTCATCCTTAAAGATTCTTGCGCTGCTTTCTTTGCTGCTGCTGCATTCTTCTGCATGGTGTATTTGCAAGGTCTATTCAGTCACATTTTTAGGCACTCATAATAGGGAGTGTCTGTTGCCTACGCTGCACATCCATAGGCAGTGTGCCATTCTGCTCCATAGGTAATCTAGCAGTTCCCATAGCCCAGTCCCACCACATCAACTCCATGCTGCTACTTAATTTGGGTCTCACTGCCATCTCAAGCCAGAAGTTCCCACAGTTCACTTTCTTTGCATCCGTCCCTTATCCTGACCCATAATTGTTCTGCATTTGTATGAATTTTCATGTTTTTGTTCCAGAAAAATGCTGAACCGAAGAAACCTCCAAAACCAAGGCCCACACCTGCTGCTGACTGCGTGCCAAACTTCAAAACCTGCAAACCACACTTGAATTCCTGCTGTAGCTACTGTGCCTTGTGCAAATGCCGAATTTTTCAGACGATCTGCCAGTGTCTACTGTTAAACCCAAAGTGCTAAACCAAATCAGGAACATATTAAGGCTGCTGTCTTTCATTAGCTTCTCGAGTGTATATGTCAAACTGCCTAATGCATGTAGCAATCGAAGTAGAGAGCTTTGAAGCTGGTAGGTTGGATTTGTTTCTCTTCAATGGACAATTATTTTCTTCATGGGGTTGATGCTGTCATAAGCAAAATGGGTTTTTTAGGAAGCTGACAACCAGGAAGATAGACTTTGAACAGGCATTCTTGGCAAAACTAACTTGCATCTAAGGAGAATTCTGGGTACTCGGTGTTTGGGAATTTTTAGGGTTGTAACTTGTTTTTTGTTTGTTTGCTTGTTTTTCTTTTTTGGCTGGTAACTGGGTTTTTTGTTCTTTCTTTGAGAAGGGTTTTATTAACAAAACATTTCGATATATCTAACCAGCACTGCAAAACCTGCCTACAATCAGCCACACTGAAAAAGGACTTCTCAATCTCATGTGAGACCAGAGCTTAGGTTTGCCCTCAAGGACAGCACAGCACAGGCTTCCAACAGATCCAATATGGAAAGCTGAAAATGCAGGTTTCCTGGTTAACTCCCCTCTCATACATTCCACAAAAATTAGGACTAAAATCTTTGTAGGTTACTCTAGCTGAAGGCCATAGCAGCAAAGTTTGGCTCGAAACAAACATCTTCCTCTTCTTGTGGAAGCTCTGTGCCTTAATACTGAGTTATCCCAGATGACATAGCAGAGAGCCTTCCCTGGCTGAGCTACCAAGAGAAAGGTCATAGCAGAGCAAGGAGGGAGCAGACCTAGCAGTGCCCAACATGAAGACTATTCATCTGCCAGACTCCAGCTCTCCTGCTTTCCACCTTTTCTGCTCTGCATCTGCCATATTCCTCTCTTTCCCAGAGTGTATGCACTCTTTTTCCTCCCATGGGCCTCTTGATTTTAGTCTTTTCCCTTCCTCCACCATTATGGTTAGTCACCTGAGGTTCCCTGAATTTTCTAATGCTCTGCAGTTCCAATTTGAAGGAAATTTCTCAGCTGATTTATTTCTAAGAGCAGCTGAGGGCTACAAAATCAGGAGGGCAAAGACAATATAGACGATAAATAGTCCCTAAAGTGGCTCAAGCCTTCAAACATCAGTTCAAAGCCCAGAGCTTTAAATATAGGCTGGATGTTGACAGAAATGTCTGTTCACCTTCTTAGAGAGATATACAGTTGACAGAGAGTTTAATCTAAGAGCCTGAATGATGGCAGGATGTCACTCTGTTCCTCATCCAGCTGTCATGGATGATGCAAGTTTGAATTCTTTTAAATGTGTGTTACTACTTCTTTTAATCAGATATCCTGGCTCAGGAATCCATGAGCTGTGGCACAAAGAGCATGAGAAGAAATACAACATGGTGGTGGGTTTGGGAACAGAATTTGACCCCTTCTTTTCCTAGGGAAGCCGTACTTTCTTGACAAGCTGTTCCAAAGTTTTCATAAGAAGGTGACCTCAGTTGATATTAAAATGATATCCATAATAACACAATTTCTACCGTGGAAACAAGTGCTTGTCTAATCACAAGAGGCCACAGAAACTGTGCTCTAACAGGATGAATGGAAGCAGTGGAGGAAATGGAAAGAAAGGGGGGCAAAAGTCCAACAGCGTGTGCTGTTCTCTCAGCAATAACTCTCACGTCTGCTTGGCTGTCTGCTGAGGAATTGGGCAGTACTGAGGAGTGAGAGACATAGAAGCTGACCCAGCTTATCCAGGGCATGAAAGAAGAAGAAAGACTATTCCACATAAGAATAATGAGATTTGTTGTGAAACATACAGCACTTCCTTTATAATACAGCATTTATGCATAGTGTGTTTTGACAGATTCGGTTTATTAATAAACCTTCCTTTTGTTTGTTGGAATTCATTGAGAAGAGATGATGCTTTCTTTGCCATTCATCTATCACACCAAATAATACATACAATCAGGTACTCTGAAATCATTACTAGCCTACTTTTCTGGCTAAAGATCACATTGCAGGGAGGGTAGGATACAGAAATCAGTAAGATACATACATACATCTACCATTTGCTTCCTGCATTTAATTTGAACAAGTATTTATGCTAAAGAGTTGGTTTTATATGTGAGAGTGCCCTGAGGGAGATGTCATCAGCACAGAGATGGTAACACATACGCATGACAAACGCAGAGCGTTTAATTTTGTCACATAGCAAAACGTCTTCACAAATAACTCACTGAAATATAAGTTTAGGAACAGACCCAGTAATGCTCTGAGACACAGAGAAATCTCACTCCTGGAGACCAATGGAAATGTTATCTTGATTACAACTGAGTACAAATAAATCATTATTAGCTATTCCAAATATTGCCTCTCTTGTGGGAATTTAAAACAGATATGGCGTTTTCCCATCTCAAGGTCCAACTTGATTTCTTACTGTCAACTTCAAAGACCAGAAAATCCAAGTTGATCTGGGTGGCTAAAACAAATGCTAGAATTAACATCTCCATGAGTACCAGCTCCAATACCTCAGTAATTAGCTGGTGAAGCTGTGAAAGTGTTGGGAGACCCCAAAAGGAAAACAAACAACTTCTCACGTTAGTCTGTAGGATCTTCTCAATAAAACCTTTTCCAAGTTGTCTGTAAATGAGTCAGCAGTATCTGTGACACTGCACCAGCTGAGCATGATGAGAGCTTTAACAAATACCTTTTAGACAGAGAAATAAGGCTGACTTCATGATAAATTAGGCGAAAGAGAACGCTATGGTGGCTGCGATCAAAGTAAGGAGCCAAGAAGTACTTGCATGTGCCATGCCCAAAGCTGACCCTGTAGAAGCTATATTTTATGTTGCAAAAATTACATCATGTTAGCCCCATGGAACATGCTTCTCGGAGTACTGTGAGAGTGACTATTTGTGAGAGACCTCAGCCTTACAATCGCATTATGTGTGAGTGCAGGCATTAAATAACATCTAAAGACAATGCAAAACAATACTAAATCGTGAGATTTTTCATCAAAGCCTTTCAAGCTGAATTAGACCACTCTATGTCCAGAATTGACTCTGTGAACATTAAACAGACAAATTCCGGATTTGTTCACATCCCAAGCCCTATTTAACTCAGACACTTAGGATTTGTAGAATCAGGTGTAAAATTTTTTAAAAACTCTGCTAACAAACACATAAGAATTTCTGCTTTTTTCTACCACTTAACTTCGAACATCCACCCTCCTGGACAACTTCCCCCACACAAAGATCTCCAGATGAGAGTAAAGGATACACAATTGCTATGGTTACAGCACTGCAAAATCAAATTGCCACTATAGTAGCTGGAGCAGATCTATCACAATTTCCAAAACTAAAATTGCACGTTCAACAGCTACTTCTTTGCAAACAGAGACAATCTTTGACTTGTTCGCATTTTGTTTAGTAGTTTACAAGATATAACTGACCCTTGCATGAGATGCAAATTGCCCTTTCCACTGCCCCTGTTTTCTTTTCTAACAATATGGATGAGACGGTCCCACGTCTTACACGATGGGCATCCCACCAGCTGTACTGAACTTTGGGCCACTGATGGTTTCCCAATGCTCGCATCAATCCAGATCCTCCTACAAGGCCTCTTGTCCCTCCAGGGATCAGCACCATCTCTCAGATCTGTGCCATCGTCAGACGTGCTGTGGATGCATGCCTGTGTCCAGTTAGTTGATAGAAATGTTGGACAGGACTGGCTCTAGAGTTGAGCCCCAGAGAACACCTCTGGTAACTGTACACAGCCAGATGTAGCCCCATTTACCTCTCGAGCTCTTGCATCGAGTCAGTTCATCACCCAGCACAGTATGAACTCGTCTGTTTCACAGTAGGACAATCCATCCAGAAGGGTGCCATAAAGAACTGTATCAAAGGCCTTACCAAAATCTAGAATAGTGACATCTGCTGCCTTCCCTTCATCCACCACTGACCAATGCCCACTCAGCCGTGGCAGTGGCCATATCCCCAGTAAATGTCCCCAGTTTTATCGTTCTGAATGACACCTTGTGGCATGGAATGTCCCTTTGGCCAGTTCATGTCAGCTGTCCTGGTTCTGCCCCCTCCCAGCTCCTTGCACCGCCCCAGCCCCCTCACTGGCAGGACAGTACAAGGAACGGAAACTTTCTTGGCTCTGTACAGCATCATTCAGCAAAAACTAAAACAACACTGTGTTATCAACACTGTTTTTTCCTAAATCCAGATCATACAATAACTACAAGGGAAATTAAGCCTAGCCCAGCTAAAACCAGGACAAAATGTTGGTATAGAAGCTCCTGAAACTGCAGCCACTCTGGATCAGCACAGATTCTCCCATTTGCCTCGTCATTCTCTAACAGCACTGTGCCATCCCTTAATGTAACCTCAGTGTTCTTAATGGTATTCCCTTCCCCAGTCAATCCTAGTTTAAAGCCCTCCCCATCTGTCTTGCCAGGTTACGGGTCAAGCAGCATTTCCCCCATTGAGACAGGAGGGTCCCTGCAGACCTTTCAGCCCAAAGCCTTTTCCATGGTTATACAATTCAGAGTTCTTGAGTTGTCTTGAAGCCAGGCACCGATGACCTGAGCTCGCCTGTTTCTTTCCCTGTCTCTCCTTATTAGTGGGGGAAAACACTGTCTGTGCTCCAGAGTCCTTTAGCTGTCTCCCCAGGGCCTTGAAATCTCTTTTGATAGACCTCAGGCTTCCTGCAGCTACATCATTGGTACCCACTTGAAAGAGGAATGGATAACAGTCTGAAGGCTGTCTTATGCTCAAAAGCTTCCTGGTAATATCCTTGACCCGAGCCTTGATGAGGTCTGGCCTGCAGATGGGAGCCCTCATTCCCCAGAGGAGGGAGGGAGTCACCTATGAGAACAACGCGCCTTCACTTCTTCGCAGCATTGGTTTTGATGCTGCACTTATTGCTACAAGGTCACACCTTGGAGGGAGAACCTGCATGAATGCCTCTTCCTCTTTTCACAACCCCCATCTGCCAGAGCCTCATACCTGCCCGGCAGTGGAAGCTGAGCGGGCAGACAAGCGCTCCTCTCACTGCTCTGCAGAAACTGGCTTCCAGCCCTCAGGCTCCCCAGGCTGCTGCCATTACCTTGGTGCAGCCCAGATGCCGGACCTGCTGCAGCAGTGGCAGAGCGTGGCTCCCCTGATCCATCCATCACCTTTTCAGGCTCCCAGATGCTTCTCAGTCTCCCCGCTGCTTCCTGGAGCTCGGACACCAGGCAGAGCAGCTCATCTCCCTGGGTACACTGTGCATGCTCTCACCCTCCATTTTGGGGCAGCACCACAGTCTGGGTGTCCACACGGGGACATCACGAGCCTCTGTGAGTCCTTACAACCGGAAGGAGCTCAGAGAGATGTGAAAATGTATCCCCTTGCCTTCTTTCCCCTCAGTAACAGACTTCCACAAAAGGAGCAGCTCAGCAGCATCGGTGCCCGGTACCATTTTAGACACACAGGGGTACCACTCCAGGCTGGCAGATGTGACACGTGGCCTAGAGGAGACCGTCCCCATCTGGAACAGCAGCACAAGGCCAGATGGACACACTGAGCTTCTTAAAGAGCAATTAATCAAAGTGCCCTTCCTAAATTTGTGCTGCCTGCAGATTACTTTCTGAGGTAATACAAAGATTTTATTCACGGGCTTCTCAGATGATATACAGATGGCCAACATATGGCCAAGTCCTACTTCTCCCAAAAGAAAAATGAGGTTTTAGTCATTTCTGCAAGATTTCTGAATAAAATGAAAAAGAAAAAAAAAAAAAAAAAAAAAAAGTGATTGCTGCATGACTTGTGCATGTGTATTTCTGCCCAGGAAATCTTGAGATGATGAAATCCTGACCTTAGACATGGGAGCCCTAAAATGGCTGTATATAAATAAATGCCACATGTGAACTGTGTTAATACAGATAAAGTCAGGAAAAGACAAAAATATCATACAACAGTTTGGGTTGGAAAGGTCCTTAAGCAGCTCTCAGTTCCAACCCCTTCTGTGGGCAGGGACATCTCCCACCAGGTGTGCTTGTCCCCACAGGACACTTCTGGCCCCTTCAAATCAGTGGAAATCTTCTATTGGCTTTAATTGACTTCTACAGCTTTAATCATCTTCAGCAAGCTTTAATAAATACTTAGAATCGCTCTCTTTAGCATCTGGTGGGTCTAGCCAATAACTGTTCTTTTATCCTTCCTATTTTTGTAGGCTCCTCAACCAAATATTATTCATGACCTCACATGGGTTTGCCATCAATCTGCACAGCTGTCTCAAGCAGGACAACAGCAGCAACACAACACTTCCAGCAGTAATGGGCAGAAGTCAGCCCTGAGAACACACAGCATCCCTCTTCTTTGTGTTCCATAGCAAGCTTGGCAGTTGAAAATAATACAAATTCTTTAAAGTCTAATGCTATTTCATGAATGCTTCCCATATGGGAAGCACTAAATGAGCACAGCAGATGCTTTGCTTTCCCTTAATCCCTTCAACTTGTTCATCTCCCTTCTTCACTAACGCTTCTTTCTAAGTACATTTGGCCAAAGCTGTCACTGTTCACCTTCACAACGGTATCATGGTGGGGGTTAGACACTATTTCAGCCAAAGGCTTCACTGCCAGGACAGGTCAAGAAGAATTTGAATTCTGCTATTTAAAAAAACAAACACATATAGGGAACAATTTTGGAAAGGAGGAAGAACCGGACCAGCAGGTGGCTGTTCTGACTGGGAATCAAGCTAACGTGAAGCACATACCTACAGTGAGCACCAACTTGAAACAAAGCTCTAGGCGTCAGCCTCACTGCTGCTTTAGGTGTTTCAAAAGGTGCTCCCAGTGTGTGCAGTGGGACAACTGCCCAAGGGAAGAGACAACATGGATATGAACCTAAAGCCTGCCTGATATTCTGTTACAGAAATTATTTTCCAATTACGAAATCATAACAGAAGCACTGCAGAAAAGCAGCAGGTTTGCTGAGAAGTGTCTCTCCCCTCTACAGAACAGAGCAAAGTTTAAAAACTTAGGTACAGATTTTCTAAATACCCTCACAAGTTTAACCACCTGTAAGACAAGGACAGGGAGCCAATGGAGCAGCAGTCCCCACCCTGCTCAAAGGAACGCTGCAAAGCTGACAATACATTTTGGTTTCACTCTGGAAGCATTCTTTACTCCTGGAAATATTTGTCCTTCTTTATTTTGACTTTTTGTTGAAGAATTAGTGATTTCAAAAAAGGGAAAAGCAGGTCATCGTAGTTGGCACTTCTTACAGCTGTGCCAAGTCGTCCGGGGCAAACTACGTGATGGAAGAAGCTACCAGGGCTTTACAGCATACATGTACGACATCCGACTGATCTGAACAAAAAAGCACCAAAGACAAAAAAGAAACCACATCTGGCCCATGAGAATCTTCAGATCATTTTCAAGAACCACTGTCATGAGAATGGGCACAGCCACGAGTCATGCAGCCATCAGTGGGACTTCCACGTGCCCCTTCCTTCTTAGTCAGAGACCATCCTTATTTCCTAAGGCTGTTCCCCTCCATCCATCTCCATTTCACAGGACATGAAGCCACATCAAAAACAAAGAACAGGATCTACCCAAGCTGTACTGCAAATCAGCTGCTGTAATAAATCATGGAAACCAACGTCATCTGATTGAGATAAATAAAATCTGGTAATAAAAAAATATCTGGTTGAGATAAAGTAAAAAGATACGGACGGTTCTCTCTCATTACTTCTAACTCAGTGTTGGAGGAATAAATACTACACCGCTCGCCCTTCTTGGAAGGATAGCATAGATAATGAAAGGAAATGATTAACTGAAAATAAATCTGAATTATTGCTCTTCCTGGCCAAATCAGAGACCTGTCTAAAAGCTAGGAGTACAATCCTTCACCATCAGCCCCATTTTACCAGCAGGTTCGGTCACTGCAGGAGCAGCTGCCACAAGTGCTGCACAAGGCCCATGCAGTGGGCTGGTGGGAGGAGCTGGAGGCGTTAAGAAACAAAGGAACATTGGATATAGGGTAGAACAGAGAACTTCTCCCAGAGTGGTAATTAGGTTTATATTAGTGCTACTTTCTTCCTGCTTGTTTGGGTTCTTTTTTAATTCCTGAACCACTTCAGCAGCACGCAGGAAGAACTAAACCTGAGGAACAGCAATTAACTAGGGGCCATGGGCATTTCCCCACTTCTCAGCCCATGGCTTCCAGCATTCAGGGTAGGTGGGGAAGCTGTAAATCTGAGTGAATTCTTATTTTATAAAAGACAGCACACACCATACCCCATATTTAAATTTATTTTTAGATCTTCCTCATGATCTCCGCATTCCTCTGACATACTGTACACACTTTCCCAAACCAGACCTCCTGTATGCACAGCTAGGAACCTCACTTCTTTTCTTTTTGCCTTTTAAGATGAGCCTGCCAACAAGGCTGAGCTCTCCAAGGCACACAGCACTCAGCCAGCTGGGCGAGCACTGAGCCCAGTGAATGCCACAGTCGAGCTCCTCATTCCCCCTGTCAGAGAGCACTTACAGGCGTATGGCTGAGTGCATCACCCTGCTCACCCATCTACCAGGCCTGGTTCACCAGCTGAACACAAAGCTCGCCTTTGTTCCTCACCTCCCCCCTGCACATGTGAAGGTCATTTCCAACTGCAACGCAGCGCAGTGATTCGTGTCCCACTTCTCTTGGGATCCAGACCCAGGCAGCCCGTGGCTCACATTTCACCCTACTTCTGTGACATCTGCTGTGCAGTCACAAAAATGAGATTGGGTGTAGTCCATCATAGTCAAATGACCCAGGAGGCCAGACGTGGAATTCCATGCATGGGGCTTCAGTACTGGGGAATGGAATGTGAGCCTCATTACCTGCAGCTGCTGCGCTCTTATCAGTGCTTATGTTTGTTAGTCGTTGCATCCAACTCAAACCATGGTAAGGGAATTGTGATGGGACTGACATCTGTATTAAGAGAATCACAGAATGGCCAGGGTTGGAAGGGACCTCAAGGACCATGAATTTCAACCCCCTGCCACACGCAGGGCCACCAACCTCCCCATTTCATACCAGCCCAGGCTGCCCAGGGCCCCATCCAACCTGGCCTTGAACACCTCCAGGGATGGACGGGGCATCCACAGCCTCTCTGGGCAGCTGTTCCAGCACCTCACCACTCTCTCTGTAAAGAACTTCCCCCTGACATCCAACCTCAACCTTCCCTCCCTCAACTTGAAACCACTTCTCCTTGTCCTGCTGTTATCAACCCTTTCAAAGAGTTGATTCCCCTCCTGTTTGTAGGCTCCCTTTAGGTACTGAAGGCTACAATGAGGTCACCCCGCAGCCTTCTTTTCTCCATGCTGAACAAGCCCAGCTCCCTCAGCCTGTCTTTGTAGGGAGCTGCTCCAGTCCCCTGCTCATCTCTGTGGCTCCTCTGGACCCTCTCCAACAGCTCTCTGACTTTCTCGTACTGGGGCTCCAGACCTGCACACAGCACTGCAGATGGGGCCTCACAAGAGCAGAGCAGAGGGGGACAACCAAAACGCTCAGCTTCAGACCAGACTGAATATCAAGTTCATTGTACGTAGATTAAAATAAATAAGAAAGAACAAGAAAGGTGCTTTTAAAAATTGCAGGTGATTTAGGACAACTCAGCAGTAGCAGACGTGCTCTTGACAACAGGAAGCAACCCAGCAATAAGGCTGTGCCATTTCCTTCACTATGGATCAGGCACCTTCTGAGAAAGCAGCAGGGGTTCGGGACACGAGACAGTGTTTTTCCTTAAGAAATAACAACAACAAATAAAAGGAAAGCAGCTACTACACCACAGGTCATGTTTCAAAGCCTTCCATCTATTCTGGAATGCTGCTAAAGCTGAAGTGAAATTTGCATATTTTACTGTGAACAATATGCAAAACTGCCCCTGAAGAAGAATTCAAATCAGAGCACTGTCTACGTTTGGCCAATGATGATGCTTGCATCACAGCAAGGGAGAACAAGACTGCCTTTAGGAAGGGAAGCTGCTGAACTCTATCTGAAAGCCACACAGCACACAGTGACAGCTGGGCAGAAATATGAAATACCCCCTTGCAATAATGCTGCTGATTCACACATCATACCGTCAACGGGAACTGGGCATTGCATTTCTTCTCCAGGCAGCAGTAAACCACAGCAGCGCTACAGGAGGTAGGAGGGAGGAAGAGAAATCCCACAGTGGTTTTATTAGGGTCTGTGTTTGATCTAGTCTTCTTCAACCAATAAAATAGAAGATCTAGCAGAAAACATTCCAGATATGATTTTTATATTTTATCCATTCAAACCGTGTTTGAGTCAAATTCCCACATTGTCAACTTGCTCAGACTACTGTATTTTCAATAGTAAAGCAAAACTGCTTGGGATCTGTCAATGAAAGCGCTGCAGTAGGAAGCCACTGGTCTGTTCTCTTCCCTCTTGGCAGCAATGCTCCAGTGCACTGGAACACAGCTCTGCAAAGCAGATATTGCAGATCTGGGCAAGCTGCCAGTGCATGGACACCTCCCCGACCCATCCATGGAATCACAGTTTCACAGGCTCAGTCTCTGAAGTTTCAACAGAAGCTGAATGTCAGGAGTCTGCACTGGGCTTTCCAGGTTTAGAGCTTTGCACACAAACTCTCCCTTGAGACATTTTCTGAAAGTCAGCAGCTGCAGCCCCTGAACCCAATAATGTGTATCAGACTTCCTCAGGACTCCAAAACCAGGAAATGCGAGATTTCAAGTCTTTCTGTGGAAAACAAAACACACACACATACACACACATGCAAATAAATTTCTCTATGTGCTAAACAATTTCTGTAGGCAATCCATAGCTAGCAAACAGCAATGAGAAATGAGTCCTGACATCCAACATGTGAAATGACAACAAAGCAACATCAGCACAGAACTGGCTGCTAGTCCCCACCCAAAACACTCTCTGACAGATCTTCCTAAAAATGTATATATCCAATATATGTGTATTTATATACACATACACACTTGGACAAGAAGGCACACCATCATAAAACCCTGTGCATTGGACACCTGGAGTAGAATATGCTTCATATGAACTCCGTGTGCCAGCTAGCTCTGTTGTCTTCTGAGAGACTGCAATTCTTAGAGAATTGAGTCAGAAATGTATGGATCAAGAGGACAGAACAACACAGGAGACATCGTGGTGGGCACTTGAAAAAGACCAGCCAACAATAATATCCAGTAGCTGGCAGCTTCTTTTGATAGCTGGAAGAACTCTCTCGATAGCAAACTCCGGCTCCCAGGGAGACTTCATGCCAACTACCTCAGTAAGGCAGCCTGGAAAGGCAGCTCTCCTAAACCCAAGAGGTTTAGAGAGCAGCAAGCATAGTGTATCAGCACCAGTGGTCGGTGATCCAACTAGAGTGAATGTTCTGCTGGATCTGTTACTTAAGGAAATAAACTGGTGAGAGGGGTAAGGAGAGTGATGCCTGCAGAGACTGCAGCAGCTTTATCCAGAGCTGTACCAGCAAAAGCAGATCCACAGGTAAAAGGAAAAGTGCCTTTTCCCCTTTTTAGCACTCTAAGGGCATCTGCACCCAGCTTTAGCTCCCCAGTATAAAGACAGCATCAGCGCACCTGAGAGCAACTGAGATGCTCAGGGGACTGAAGATTAGGATGCACAAGGAAACTAAGACCTGGGTTTGCACATGGAGAAGGCAGAGGGAGAGTCACTGCTGCCTTTGGCTACTACAGGAACACATAGCAAAGATGGAGTGAGACCATTCCCAGGTGCAGAGGAATAAAACAAGGAGCAGTGAGCATAAATCGCAACACAGGAAATTCTAGTTAGATGTACAGAAAAAAAGTTCAAGAGTAGTTGAATACTGGTTGACAAGACTAAGGAGGTTGGGTAATCTCAAACCCCAGAGAAGACTGAAACTCACCCATGCAAGCTGGTCAGCAACCTGACCTCACTAGCTCTACTCTGAGGTGAGGGATGGTCCACCAGACAGGTAGGAAGGGCTAAACTATTTGATGAGTCCATGGACATATGGAGAGGCAGTCACATCCAAAACATAATTACAACCCTAGACTTCAGAACCGCAGGCTTTCAGCCAAGAGACGGGCTTAGGGAAGACACTGCCCAGCTTTGAAGAGACTAACAAGGAATCTGAAAGGCAACAAAAAGGACAATATCCAGCTCTTGTTTCCCTACTGCAATTATTTTACTGACTTGATATGTCGTCTTTATTCTGACACACAGAGCTGAGTGTGATGTAGGGTGACCCCATCCACACTGAGACGCAGGTGCACACACTGGGGTGGAACTCTGTATAAATGCATATTTAAAAGTTAACTCGTAGTGAATATGGATTCATTCGTTGTGGCTACCTTCATGAGACCCACACTCAAAACTGATGCTCTTCAGAGGCTGACAACAGATTATTTGCAGAACAGCAAGCAATAAAACAAGCTGCACACCAAGCAACATTTGGTTACTCATTTCTTTTTTTTGCCTTATCCAGAGCTCATACTCCACACCACCTGTTTTAATTGCTTACTGACACCTGTTGCTCAAACATGAATCTCAGAGCATTTCAGCTGCTGGTTTTTGGTGGCATTTCTTTTAATACATTCTACCAAATTTTTCATTTTCTTACCTTCAGCCTGCTGTATAATACTGACTGAAGAAGGTAGTGGAAATGGAGGTATTTCATAACACGTGGAGATGAATTTGGATAGGCAGAGGTGTTAGGGTTTGTTTCCTTTGTTTGTTTGGGTTTTTTTGTCCCTCATTCCCTCCTCCCCTCACCCCATCTTGTAACACTCACAGCCCTTCAATTGTAACTAAATAACTTCAGGAACAGCATTTCTCATTTAAGTACACCACTTAGCTGCCACAGCCAAGAAACCGCAAGTGGATACACAAAAAGGTTTGACTCAGTGAATACACAGGACCAAACAGATCCATGGCAAAGCCTAAAGCATCTTAATACACAAGTCAGGCCACAGTCACATCTTTAATAAAAGCACTCTGAGTCAGTGACAGAAAAGATACAGCAGACATGACAACTCTGAAAAAGAACCTTGGGTAAAAGCGTGCTGCTGGTGTTATCCTAGGCCCAATCAAGACCCCTAACCCTAATCATCCCCTCAGTGGCTTCTCAGACATTCACCAACACTAGAAGACTGCTGAAGTAAGTCACCTTTGCCTCACACCCCTTCCACTGTTGCTATGGAAGCAGCATAGAAGGGTCTTGGTTCTAATTAAAATCACTGGAGTAGATTAATCCAGAGAGAATGCCAGCTCTCATCTCTGCATAGGAGATTACATTGATCCTACAGGAGGCAGAACAAGCAACCTGCAGAAATACTCCTCCTTAGTTCCCCCAGTTATTTCAGTTAGTGCACCTTCATGGAGAGAAGCCTGGCACCACCAGCCTTGAAACAGAATTCAGCTAATTCCAACAGAGCATGGCAGAAAGCATCTCTTTGAAGAAACAGTTCTGCACTTCACTGATTAGCCTGCTCAAACAGCTGGCCACATGTTTGACAAGAGCGGATGTTTAATCTAGTATTCTCTTTTGTCCAGCTCTTACTGGGACATTAGGGGCCAATTAAAGGTGCACAGGATCCTTTTTGCTGTGAATTTAGCTAAGTACCAATCCTAATTCCATGAGCCAGGGTGATCCTCTTTCTTTAAAAAAAAAAAAAAAAAAGACTAAAAAGGCCCTGAAGCTCCATTGGTAAGGGCACAAGTTCTGCAGCACTGAGAGGATGATGGCAAAGGGCTTGTTCTCAGAAACCCAGCACACACTAGAGCTTTGGAAGGTTGCATCCCTGCACTTTGGTCTTTGAGTACTGCCACCTGCTCAGTATCGGTAGTGGTCTGGCTTGAAGGGCCCATCCTTTGACAAGCCCAGGTATTTGGCCTGCTTCTCACTCAGTTTTGTCAACTTCACACACAGTTTGTCCAGGTGTGCAGCAGCCACAGCTTCATCCAGCTAGAAAACAAAGCATTGAAAAAGATCAGTAGAAGCTTCAGTTCAAGAAATCATGGCTGACAATAAGAAATGATGCCTGAAAACCAGTAGCAGCTCCAAGGAGAACTTAACAGACTGATACAACTCTTTTCCTGTCAACATGCACCAACTGCCTGAGCGCAGAACCACTACCCTGAGCACAGAATCATCCCCAGATGGAAAAGTCCCAACTTAATTTGACTTCCTCAGAAGCAAGAGACAGACAAATACATCCTCAAGCCCATGTCAATCCCATTTACGCATTCACATCCATCCACAGGTAAAGAACAGATATCAAACTATTCAAAAATAAGAATGTCCAGTTTGGTAGAAGGGAAAAGCCCCAGTCATGTTTCTGCTATGAGAACACCTGGACATGGACATACTAGACTATCATAATGCTTTATAGAAGTTCTAATATGTACAAATAAAGTAACACATCTCCCCCTTCCAGGTATACTTTCTCTGAGGTATGTATGTTAAGAATATTCATTCCAGAACCACTAATTCATCGACAACACTATTATCTATTGTCATGGCCTTCATGAATAATAAAATACTTTATATCTCACTTCCTGATCTTTTCTTCATTCCAGGGATGTCAGGCAGACATGCAAACTCAAGGGTCAGAAAAATGAGCAGAAAGTTAGAGGATATTTAAGAAAACAGATAGCAACATGGCAAACTAGCTGCCATGTCAAACAGCAAGGCAGAGCCGTGAAAGACATTCAAGCAGATAGGACAGCACTGGAAGGGACAAGCTGCATATAACAGAAAAATAAGTTATCATATCATTTGCAATTCCTGCAAGATATGAATGATCGCTGCTAAGGAAACACAGATGCAAGATAAGTCTGAACTGCAGCAGCAGAGAAAAAAAATGGTGATATCTCCTCTATGTATGTAACTGTTGCAATATATTTGATCACCATATCAACAAAACAACCAACCATGCATCCTCTGCATGTGCATGTGTCAGCACATCCTAAGCAGAAGTGTTCTAACAAGAAACTACTCTGAAGTAACTCCATCATAACAAGCATATTAAGCATATTAAAGTTATACTTGTGCTGAATAATTCAGTGCAGCTCAACCTGTTGGCAGTTTGGTGTTACTCTGAACATCTACAGAGAACCAGTGAGGGCAAAGATGTACAATCCAAACCATTAAAAACAACAGATTAAGTGGTTGAAGAATGTGGAAGCAAACCGTGAAAGCTATAGGATACTACATAAGAATCAAGAAAACCAAGAAAGAAAACTCAGCTGAAAGGACTGTGTCTAGAATGGGAAATAAGTATTTAAGCTCAGTAGACCATGTCAGAAGAAAAACATTAAAAATCAAATACATATCAGGCTGAACTGTAATGATATATTGAGATCTGACAGGTGTGCTTCCAGCACAACTGAGACAGATTAGACTTACTTGAAAAGGAGCTGTTACTGAGTCATCACTATCTCACAAATCAGGTTTCCAAACTGCAGCAGAAAGAAGCTGTTTCACAGTTGCTTCAGTTTATGGACTTCAAGATTTAGAGAAAGGCAAACTGACATTCTTACCTACTGCACACTTCGAATCAAGATGTTGAACATAAGGAAGGATAGATTTGACAGCAAGAACACGGATGCAATAACTTGCTTCAATTTCCAGGAAAACGTATTGCAGAAAAGCAGGCATGTTTGTAACAGCTCGTCACCAGTTCTTAAATTTGAATTTAGATCTCAAAGCTACTATGCAGAACAAGGAGAGGTACTAGCCAAAAGTAAGGAAAGAAAGCTCTTCTATCCATCTTCTGTTGGTTCTGACAAGAAGACAGCTTTATTCACTGAAATTATCTGCGGAGCCCAGTGGGTGAAGATCATTTTGCCACAGTATGTGAACCTGAACACCTCACTGCCATACACTGCACAAACACAACTCCATTTCTACGTAACAGATCCGGGTGTTATTTCTCACTTTCAGTTCAAGTATGATTACTAAAAACTGTTGTTCTGGAAGAGAATGAAGCCAGCAACATCGGGCTTGCTCTTTTTCCTGGGAATTGTCAACAAAAATTTTTCTCTGAAGATGACTGTGTGTCAGAGAGCTGGCTGATCAGCTGCAGATACGCTCTGCTTGATCATCAATGGCAGTTCTGGAAGCTTAAGTTCTTCAGCAAACATTTCACAAGGAAGCCCAAACATACACTTTATACTTCCCAGATGAAAAGTATTTTCACATTTAGTCTCACACCTGGTTCTATTTCAAAGCAGTGGGATTTCACTCCAGCATCCTTCTCAATGACCAACTCAAATTCACATGCTTGTTTTGCAAAATTAAAACCAGGTTAGTTTTGTAAAGGAATTTGCAAGTTATGACACGACCCAGATTTCTCCAAGAACAAAGAATCCATAGATAAGATTAAAGGGAAACACAAGGGAATTTATGTCATTAATATTTTCTGAAGCTATTAGGACCAGACTATGATAAGCTTTGCTCAGGTGCAAATGGGACCCAGATTCTCTCAACCACAGTGAAGATTTCTGGTTTCACTCCAACTCCAACTCTTCAGGAAGGAGCTTCCTGACTATTCTCAGACAGCAAAGGCTTTCCCAGCACCTTAGTAAAGAGCTGCAAGTCAAGAGGGAAGAAAAAAACAAAACAAAACAAAAAAAACAGCAGGACATTCCTGTCACAAACAAGTTCTACTTCTTCACTCTGTCCTAATCACAAAAAAGAAAGAAAAAAGCTCACTTCAGATTGTGTGACCAAAGCCCTACAAGTTTGTGCTTTTCTGCTATTCTAACTCACCTTCTTTGGCAGGAAATGGACTCCAACAGAGTATTTGTCACTATTTGTCCACAGCTCAATCTGTGCCAGCACCTGGTTGGTGAAGGAGTTGCTCATGACGAAGCTAGGGTGACCCATGGCACAGCCCAAATTGACCAGCCTGCCTTCTGCTAGCAGTATAATATGACGACCGTTCCTCAATTTATAGCGATCCACCTGGGAAAAGAGCAGTGAAAGGTGAGGGCAAAAACAGCATTTTAAGTCTCAGAATCACAGGGGCTGGAAG